ATAAATATGGTGCTTAAAATTTTTTTTTTTTTATTTATTTTAATACAATTACTTTGCCATTACAGATAACTTAACCTAATTCGACATAGTAACTTAAAATATGTTTCCTAAACTATTAACTATGAACTATATTTAACTATAAACTTATTGAAATTTTAACTGCAAACTATATTTCCTTACACACTATAGAATAAGTGGTCCTTGTGAACTCGCTCAGTGTAATTATTTTCATAAACCTCAAATCTCACAAAAATATGTTTAAAAACGTATTATTATTATTAGTATTTCTCAATCCCAATAGTCTTACCAATACGTGAATTATAGTCAAAACCAAAAAATAAAACTAATTAACACTACACTATAAACTGCACTAAAATCACAGTCACTTATAAAAAAAAAACTATTGCTAAACAACACTATTTATAATTATAAAAAAAGAACTTTAAAAACTAATAATGTCAAATCACAAACTCCCGCGGTAAAATCAAACGTCAAAATAAAAAAAATAATTGATGTATTTTTTTATCGCGCGCGCAACGCAGCGTAAGGTCGCGGTGAGACTGGCGGGTTTGTTATTAGATAGTGGAAGCCTTAAATGGTAGTGTCGGTGTGACGTATAGATTAGAAGAGCTTCGCAATCGAAGTACTTACATGGTGATATTGATGGAATATGTGGGTGTAGCCTAGGCCTTATAGGCACCATAGATGATGTGTCTTATTAATGAAGGGTAAACGACCAGATTTTTATTGCAAGTTTTACGTCTTTCGAAAAGTGTATTTATTACAGAAAGCAGATACTTTATATGAAGCTATAACTGTCTTTGTTGCATGGCATCATAGAGTCAGTAGTCGACTAGGTCTCTGCGCCTAACTAGATACGTATAACGAAATTAAAACCAAACACTCCCTATACTATGGAGCTGAGGACAACCTCGCGAGTTACAGGGGCTTTGGATTAAAGCAGGAGTCGGAACAAAGTGGTTTTTATAGTCAGTAAGAGTCTCAGACTCACTCGTCTCACCCATGGCGGGAGAATTCATAGGATGATTTTGCCTGTCAAAAAAAGTACCCCTAAACGCTTGTATCTCTGACAACATTCGTTACATTTTCTTGGATAAACCCCCTTTCGTTTACACCTGTTATTTTTCCTGACGCAATCTTCAACTTCACCTACCATCATACCATTCCCATGAGACTCCCGAAGAAAGTGTTCAAGCCCCATACCGCAGTGACTCAGTTCAAGCCATACAACTCGATACTCATACAATATTTAACACGAGTGACGGTCAGGGTTGCTGCTTACGTCATCCACATGTCAAAGTCCTATTGATTTACTTATCCTATTAAGTATTAGGTATTAGGATGTCGCCTGACAGTATCTATTATGTTTGTTAGTAATTGTGCCTATTATGTTGCTATATATTTGGGCCTGTAAGTGTCTCTAGTGCAGTTTATGGTAGGTCTTTTGGAAAGTGCATGTTATAAGGGTCGAAACTAGTGCCTATACATCGAGAGTGTGATACAGACTATATACATTACGTAGGTCTAGATATTGACTGTGATGTTTTTCAATACCCTGACAATGCCTATGTTCAGTTGTGGCTCACGATGGGCAAGCTCAAGGCTTAATCAATGTGGAATTGTGCTCGGTATATGGCAATAGGCTTACTCCCTGTTACATGGGACTCAGAATATAAATAGTGAAATTTGGGTGTTATATTGTACAGTGACCTGAAGTGCCGTAATGTGCACCTCTACCTAGCACTACGGGGATAGGCGTGACGTTATGTTGTCGATGTATTATGGGACCACAAATTTATAAAATACTATGAGCTTGCCTACTACAAGTATACATAAAAAATAATCTCTAAATCTCGCTTTCCAAAAAACAAGTACATAACATATCTCCATCAACTAAACCAGTAGACAGGCGATGTTTAAAACTAAAATACATTTCAGAAAGTATTTTCTAACGTCTAAATTATAATAAACAATTTAACCACAGATTCTTTGGCAGTTTTCTTCAAGTGTCAATAGTGCAAGCATTGAAATGTCACACAAGGTCTTAAAAAGTAAATGAAGCATCGTCTATGGTCCCGTTGCAACGGTACTAAACAATGGGAGGCTATAAAAGTAGCCGTAACAGTCGTATGTCACAAACAAGCACCTAGAGCTAGGTCTTGTACTCATGCGTGCAAAATTACGGTTACCTTTTATGAAAATTACTGTGTCAGGATTGGTTATTAATATTCCGTTTTTATTAACTGTAAGTTTTTTTTTACTTATTACCACATAGGTAAAACTATTATAAATTATTTTATTACGTTACAATAATATTATAACATGTATCTGTTATCTCCTGTGGTGTTTTTATGGGATAAGCCGGTAAACGAGCAGACGGATCACCTGATGGTAAGCAGTCGCCGCCGCCCATGAACAGGAGACACGCGGAACACCAAAAGAGGCGTAACAAGTGCGTTACCGGTCTTTAGCATATTACAAATTTGAGGATTGTTGGGAATTCCGGGATTGGGGAGAGGGGTAAATTGGGCGTCCGATAATATCACAAATTTTCGATTACACATGTCATTTTCCTGACATAATCTTCAACTTCACCTATCACCATGCCGTTCCCATGAGACTCCCGAAGAAAGTGTTCAAGCCCCATACCGCAGTGACTACGCAAAATTTGTGATACAGAAAAAGGTTTTTCTAACCAGGGAATAAAATTAATAACCACTAGGAAGATCTGGGACGTATTTAGCTAGTACTAATAGCGAATAGTGCTTACAGAAAAGAGCAGAAGTAAAAATAAGAAAGGAAGAGATGTAAGGGGAATTATAGGACCCGACAACATTATTGAGTTATTTACAAAAAACTAAAAGCGTGTTACAATACAACCCAATAGGGGTGTCATGACATACTTGAGTCTAGTCATTTTATGTACCAGCACATAATAACAGTTGTAGGTAGTAGAATTACAAAAAAAAATGTAGTATCTACCTACAAAAAAGGTGCTTTCCAACTGAATTTACAAATGATAACACATTTTCACTTTTCACTTAGTTTCGTAGTCATGCGGGCTGACAGCTGCCGAGCACTGATAGCTGACTGACAGCATATGTTTCAACTGTTTCTGCTTGTTTCAGGGTATTTTATTTTTATTTCGTTTAAGTATGAATTTGCTTATTGAGAAATTTGATTAGAAGATATGTTGTGGAGGTTTTTAATTTAAAGGTTTTGTTTGAATAGTGAAAATATTTAATAGAAGGACGTAAAGTAAGCTATTTATTTTCGTTTTCCTACAGGAACATGACGAAAATTAACTCAAAACAATAACTAGAACTACAATCAAGAAATTCAGCACTTTGTATCCCTTTAAATGTAAAGATATCAAGTCAGTTTATTAGTTCAAATACCTACAGCACGTTAAGAACCATCGAAAGTGCTTTATAATACTTTGGAATATCGAGTTCATAAAGGGTCAGGTGAAGGTTAAGAGATTTTTTTTTAAGGGGGGAAATCATCGAATGTCTGCTCCCGCCTGGGAGAGGCGGGAGGGAGTGTCAGGCTCTTACTGACTAAAAACCACCCCGTTCCTTCTCCTGCACGTCGAGCCGGAGCCCCGTTAACCCGTTAGATTCTCCGCGAAGGTCAAGAGATAAGATTGGAATCAAGACTGTTCAAGACCATGTCTTAACCATGTCAGCGAAGAAGTAGACACTATCCATATATAATCGAATACAAACAGCTCAATCAACTGACCACCCTTATATGGCTACCGCGTGAACAAAGGCAATAACACATTTAATCCATAAATCGTGTGGGTATCATAAACTGCGGTTGATTGAGTGTTGCAGAATGAGCGCAGGCGCAGACGCAACGGTGAAAGTGATGTCGAGGTCGATATTGTATTCGTTATATTTTCCTGGGTGTTAGGCAGGGCATTGCAGGTGCAGGCCACTGGGATCTGAATCCCTTGGGAATTGAAGACCTGATTCCTGCCTTGTTGCTAATGGAAAGTAGATAGAGTGCTGATGATACTTCGTCAAGTAGGAGTAATTTTTATAATCGTTTAGATTTTTTTTTCTTCTCCTCTTATAATATCTTCTGATCTTCTGATCGTTGCGGGAACCAAGATGTGTGTGTCCTGACAATTCTTCCATACTAAAAACTGTCAACTGTCAACTATATTCTAAAGTTAAGAAATAATTGATGATTGATTTGTTCTTGTAATTAATTGATAACCGAAAATTGGCCCTTATTCAATTACTATAACAAATGCTTCATATTGACATTTTACTGCAGTAATAAAATAATTACCATATGTAATTCTAGTCAAGTAACAATGGAAAGTCTTTTCACTTGACCAACCTACATTTTTTAATATACACACATTTTACATAGTCTAGTACACAATTTGATCAATAAATTATACTAGTTATCTTTTATTTATTCTTTATTATAAGTCATAATCCAGTTTACGTAAAAGATTATTATGCAAACGTGCCAATCATAATCCTATTATATTTTATTATTAGGTAGAAACGACCTTCATAGATTATTGGCTTATTTATATTGTTGTGTTGGAATATTTGAATGAAGTTGTGCGGAACTGGAAGCCGTATGAATTTTATCACACTTAATGACTATTTTGTACCAAATGTAGGATTATTTTTGCCTACCGGTGTTTTGTTAACAGTCACGACATCTATTTTGTTACTCTGAAACTGTTGAGTTTAACAATTCATTGCAGTGCTCAAGTTACGTTACTAGATGTCGCTACAACGACTATCATACACCAAGTAGCGATGTTAATTAAGATTTATATTCGTACGTGGTTAACTTTTTTTTAAATTTTTGCATCTTAAATCGCAGTCTTCTTAATGTCTTGTCTAATTAACTCTCATCCACTTGACTCGTTTTACAAAAGTACCACTACTAAAGAACAGATGGCGTTGTACAAAAATAAGTTTTGTTTCCAGAGAATAATGCCTTACCTTTTCAACCTTGTCTGTAGGAGGTGATGCCGGTGGGCTTTGCGGTAGACCCAGGTCCTCATCATCGTCGCTCCCGTCACCGCGCCCCCGCCGCCTCACTGCCGCCACTAGCTCCGCCTATCGACAAAAAGAGAAACTTAATTTTATGAAAATACGAGGGAAGAGCTGTTTAATATGGTTATTTATTAATTAATGATGACATGATAATTAGCTTAACGTCACAACTAAAGGGAAAAAACGGGTCGTACTAAGGAGTAGTTAACATTTTGTTGCTGAATTTTTATTTACATAACTAAAACTATTAAGTTATTCATTGTAGTGTAAAATATCCTTTGATCCATTCTATTTCTTTTCTTAAATTCTGTCGAATCAGTGTAATGGATCTCCACTCGTTACATTATTGACGCCATTTAAAATTTGGCGTTCCTCAGGGTAGTATTCTGTCACCACCCTTGTTTTTTTGTCTTTATTATTTGACTTACTAGGTATATACTATCTGTAGGACTGTAGTCATATTTTGGTCATTTAAATACGAATACTTAAGTAACTATAACGGAAAAATATTAAATTTGTAACTAATAAAGTGGAATCAATTCAATGTTTTTGTCAGCGTTCCAGTGCAAATTCCGCCATGTTTTTGACCTATAAAACTTGATAATTTGGAGCGGACAGTGATGCAGATAACAGCTTCCTTTGCATATCGGCTCGGTACGACTGTACCAAACTGATACACTGGTCTGGCTTCTGAGGGTCTGTATGTGTATAAAGACCCTTATTGTTAATCTTAAAAAAAATCATATGATTGTTAACTATTTCCTTGAAGAGCAGGTGTATATATATAGGTATTTACTGTCTTTCTACATTTTTTTGCGCTAATTTTGATAAGTTTATTATCAGAGGGATCGCCTGATGGTAAGCGATCAGCGTCGCTCATGGACCACCGCAACACTAGAGTCACAGGTGCGTTGCCGGCCTTTTCGAAAGGAATACGCTCTTATTGTATATTATTATAAGGTTGGACCCAATTGTTAAATATGTTAGACCCTCGACTATTACTGCTCATTCCTTTGAAAATTATAAAAATCAAGATTATATGTTTTGGCCGTGCATCGAAACTGGGTTTCCGCTAAATAAGTTATTGCGTTAAATCAAAACAACAGAATATAGTAGTTAATTGTAAATGACTTAAGGAAGTTTATGTAGTTTTCCTGTTACTATGTCCATGTTACTTATATGTTTATTTTCCTCACATAAATCAGTTTTAAGGTAATTTTTCAGTGCATTTTGAAATAACATGAGTTTTGTCAAACACAGTTTGACAAAACTCATTCTGAGACGAACGTCGTCGTAATAGTTGATCAGTTAATAGCCTAATTGACACAATCTAACTATAATTTAAAACACCTTTCTTTCCTCTATGCATACAGGGTCAAATTAGATAAAATTTTAGTATGTCATGCTGTTACGGGACAAGCTCGCCACAGCATCCCAAAACCGATGGAACTCCTGTAAGCCAGGATCCACAGTAAAACATAAGATTGTTGTAGCAACCCTTTAAGCCTGAACCACTATTTATGAGACACTTCTTATATTAAAATATTAGTAGCGTATCAAATATATGAACAAACCCATAGTCTTGCTAATTTTCCGTCTGTGATCCAAGTGAACTTTTTTTTCCATCCGCGACTCATACCCACTGTGAACTGATAACACTTTGGCACTTTATCACTAACTTAGCATTGCACTGCACTTTACTATAAACAAACGATAAACGTTTCACATTGGCACAATCACTGATTCCTTAGTCCAAAGAAAAAAAATACACTTTATTTTTATAAAGTTGGCAGATCTTATTTTTGACATATGAAATTGGAACACCTGTTCGAAAAATGAATTGTTAAGTATTCTTCGTTTGATTTTCTTTTTTAATTTAATTAAAATGTCACGGTACGTTAGCTCATAAAGGCTGTCGTTCAACTAATTGCTAAGTATTTAAAATAAAATATGAAATAACAATGCGTTAGTCATTCCATATTTAGCTGTAATACAACAATACTGACAGATAAAAGAGGGAAGTCAAATAATAATTAATTTTACACATATTTTACCGGGAACCCATTAGTTGAGTCTCTATGCTTCATTTAGTTAAATAATGAGTATGATAAATCAAGTAATTTGGTAATTGGGTTTAGCCATTATCTGTAGAATTTTATATTACTGTTTTTCTGGCAAACTTTTTTAGGAAAAGACATTTTACCTATATTTAATTAATTTATTTTAAGTTTTCCTTCAGTTTACCGGTTTTCCTAGTTGTAAAATAACGCTTGTGTGACTTGCATATAGTAAAAAATTAGTAAAGAAACTGATTTGACTATTTTATTTTCTGAAGCATAATTAATATACAAAATGGAGATAAATCATTAATAAAAGAGCTAGTGAAACGAAATGAAAATAAGTCAGGCCGCCTATTTATTATAGAAATAACATATTAATTTAGACTGGCATGTACCAGGAAACCATACAAAAAAGGTGGTAATGATTCACCTCTATACGTCCTCTAGTTCTGACTTAAATATAACCTGCCAATGAAGCACTGAATCACTATGTTTTCATTACTCAGAACTGACTCAATTGTGAGAACAAACTACATAAATATAGGTAGGTTAAAATTAAATAGAAATAGCAAAATAAATCCTTATTGAAACCATAAACTTTTCGTAATAGTCTATTGTTGGATGAAGGGTATTCTCTATTATATAAGTTTTTTTTTATGGGATAAGCCGGTAAACAAGCAGATGGATCACCTGATGGTAAGCAATCGGCGTCGCCCATAGACACTTGAAACACCAGAGGCGTTTACAAGTGCGTTACCGGCCTTCTGGCGATTAGGTGTTTGAGGATTATTAGGGATTCAGGGATTGAGGAGATTGGGAAAGAGGGGGGTAATTGAGCCTCCGGTAACCTCACTAATACGACGAAACACAATGCAAGCGTTGCTTAACGTCGATTTCCTGTGAGGCCGTGGTGTAAATCTGGTCGAGCCGTCCCGTCGTGCCGAAGCATGGCTCTCCCACACTTAAAAATTCATAGTCGCTACAGTTGGCGATGCAGTGGTTGCAGTTTAAATGGTTCAGGTTCATCAGAGAAGGCTAGTATCCAGTCTATATATCAAGTGAATAGTCGGCTCTTAAATACACCTAATCTCGGTAAGAGTGCGGGTGCTCACAAGTTTATTCAACTTCTATTATTCTATTAAGTATGTTCTGCAGCTTTTCTAAGCACTAAACGAACTGACATGTACCAGGTCAACAGGACATGTAAGATATTGCATAAATCTCGTTCGTAACCGTCTCTTGTTTTGTAATGTTGGTAACAATGGATGGCTCACTATTAAACTCTCATTGTTTGAGGCGCACGTTTGAATTAAAGAAATGTTACATTCGCTTGTCATTGTCATGATTATGAATTTGTAAATGTTCATAAGTATTAATTAATACCACCTCATCTGCTAGAGGGAGTGGCAGACTCTTACTGGGATTAAAAACCATCTCATTTCTACTCCTGCTCCGCGCCCCCCGCAACCCTTGCCGTCTTCCGCGGTCATGATCGAGTACGATAGTAACCTAACACCACATTGAGAAATTGAGAACCCTTTCATTCATGCATTTCCGAGAATATATAAACGAATGCAAAGTTTCAATGACCAACTAAGGGGCTACCATAGTTTACTTCTCCAGATGAAGACATTTTTTTTGTTCAATCACAGCAGCTGTCAAATTATGAACGTCCAACGGCGTGAAACTAGTTAATTCGCTATTGGACGAAGTATGAAAGCACACGAGCGCGATCTGTTGAGCAAATATACGGTCCGGTAGGCTCCATTGTATAGCCAGATCACAAAATACCAATAGTCGCAGTTCTTGCGTTCTACCTAAATCGTAGCCTGTCAGCTGTCAACGGGATGGTAATGACACATTTACTACGTAACAGTATGATGGTCGGATATCGGGTTGTGTCATGGACAGTAAGCCTGATGGACTGACCACAACCACACACCAACCTTGCAGCTTAAGTGGGACATATGAGTAACTGTTAAAGACGTGAGTTTAGGGTTCAAATTGCATAAAATTAAACGGTTTTTATTTTACTACACGGCAATGGTTCCGGTGTAGCTGCCGCTAATAATTATTGTTGTATTATGATATTTTAACTCGTCGAGTACCGGTTTTGTAGACACAATTATAGAACAATAGGTTGCGGTCACCGGTGACCGCTTGGTGTTTGACAGTTTAATATGGGCCTTCGTTGCCTGATACAAATTAATAAATAAAAATAAATAAAGTTGGTATTGACAGTTATGATTAGATGTAATAGAGGGCGTTGGTAACGATAATCGGACCGCTGGGGCTACTGTTGAAGATCTCTTTATTAATTTGTGTCTGATTTATTGTGGTACACTAAAAGCCTGCTAAAACAATTTGTAAATGTCGTCAATCTAAAAATTGCCTGAAATGAAGAGAGACGTGAATGAGTTTGCAATACGTCTCTACTAAATTAATCTTATTATAAAGGCAACGCAACCGTAAAACTACCAGGAAATCATAACAAAGCAAGAACGAAAATAAATCGATAAAGAATGCAACAAGAAATAACATTTTACCAAAGGAATTCGGACAATTTGACCAGCCCGCTTCCTACCCGCCTATACAAGTTTTAATTAATTCATCTTATCTACTAGGAGACCATAAAATAATGATAATTACCAACTGACGTAAGCCACACTTTGTTATTTAATCGTTATTTAACAAAGGAAATGTATTGGCTATTGATTTTGCAGAAAAATATGGAATTTAGGATAGGTAATAAAGATAGCCAAAAATGTAGCTATGATAGAATAGCTAGATATATATAGGTAGAATTTTATGGGAGTTTAAAAATTTCCTCAAAAAAAAAGTAAACGTGTGTACGTTGTAATATTTGAAATTATTCATATATATTACATTACTATTCATTTGTATTATATATATTGTTGGGAATATTTGAAGGTAGAGGAAAATTTAATTAGGTATAAAGGGCGCGTCGAATTCATAACCGCTCCCTTTTTATGGTTCGAGATT